GAATATCATAAAAGAATACATACACAAATATTAGCCACAACTGTACAACTAAGAGGAAATAATTATCTTGGGATCGGAACAACTCAGCTGCCGGGTCCGTTGTGTTAAACTATCGTCAGCCTCTCTGCTCGTTAATCCGCCCGTCTGTTCGGTAATCCGTCTACCTCTGCTCATAAATCCGTCCCTGTTTGTTAATTAATCCGTCTCTATTAGTTAATCCGTCCGCTTCTGTGCGTTAAACCGTCCGTCTCTGTGCGTTAAACCGTCCGTCTCTGTTCATTAATCCGTCCGTCTCTGCTCATTAATCCGTCCCTGTTTGTTAATTAATCTGTTTCTATTCGTTAATCCGTCCGCTTCTGTGCGTTAAACCGTCAGTCTCTGCTCGTTAATCCGTCTGTTTCTAGTCGTTAATTTGTCCGTCTCTTCTCGTTAATCTGCCCGTCTCTCGATTCGTTAAACTGGTCCGCTATTAGTTTACTCTCCTTCTGTCGTTAGTTTACTCTCCTAAAGTCGTTAGTTTACTCTCCTTCTGTCGTTAGTTTACTCTCCTTCGGTCGTTAGTTTACTCTCCTTCTGTCGTTAGTTTACTCTCCTTCGGTCGTTAGTTTACTCTCCTTAGGTCGTTAGTTTACTCTCCTTAGGTCGTTAGTTTACTCTCCTTAGGTCGTTAGTTTACTCTCCTTCTGTCGTTAGTTTACTCTCCTTCTGTCGTTAGTTTACTCTCCTTCGGTCGTTAGTTTACTCTCCTTAGGTCGTTAGTTTACTCTCCTTCTGTCGTTAGTTTACTCTCCTTAGGTCGTTAGTTTACTCTCCTTCTGTCGTTAGTTTACTCTCCTTCTGTCGTTAGTTTACTCTCCTTCTGTCGTTAGTTTACTCTCCTTCGGTCGTTAGTTTACTCTCCTTAGGTCGTTAGTTTACTCTCCTTAGGTTGTTAGTTTACTCTCCTTAGGTCGTTAGTTTACTCTCCTTCTGTCGTTAGTTTACTCTCCTTCGGTCGTTAGTTTACTCTCCTTCTGTCGTTAGTTTACTCTCCTTCTGTCGTTAGTTTACTCTCCTTCAGGTCGTTATCTCCTTCTGTCGTTAGTTTACTCTCCTTCGTCGTTAGTTTACTCTCCTTCTGTCGTTAGTTTACTCTCCTTCTGGGTCGTTAGTTTACTCTCCTTCGGTCGTTAGTTTACTCTCCTTCGTTAGTTTACTCTCCATCGGTCGTTAGTTTACTCTCCTTCGGTCGTTAGTTTACTCTCCTTCGGTCGTTAGTTTACTCTCCTTCGGTCGTTAGTTTACTCTCCTTAGGTCGTTAGTTTACTCTCCATCGGTCGTTAGTTTACTCTCCTTCGGTCGTTAGTTTACTAGTACTTCATATCTCAGAAACATGAACAAATTCCCTCGGTAAAAATCTCACAAAACAAACCCCTGTAAATAATCTCACAGGACAATTAGCCATTCAACTAAAGTCTTATTAAGCTAACAAGTGCACAGAGTCCCTTCAGCTACAGCGTGAGCCTCCTGAGTCTTCTTGGTATTTTTATTTATCTGTTTCTCAACTCTGGTGGCGGAAAATTCGTCAGCTTTGGAAAATACAAATAATTAACACTTTTCATAATTCTTCTTCTTTCGGTGATGATAGAGAAAGCGAAATAATACACTGACAAAATTTGCCCCCCCCCCCCCTCATACAGACGTTCAAAGTCCTGAAAGGGATGGGAAACTTAAATTCTATTCATGTTTTCAAAATGTCAGACTTTACAAATCCTTGAGGCCATAGATTCAAGCTCGCAAAGTTGACGTGCATGACGAATATGAGGAAGTACTTCAGGCAGAGCGATAGACCTATTATGAAACAGTCTACCAGCCGAAGGTGTGGAAGCAAGAATAGCACTGGTTTTTAAAATAATTCTGACCAAGAACAATGGGGGATCCTTACCCCGACATGGGCACCGCTCGTTGTGGTAAGGTTAGGGTAAATACACCCTACGTTTAATTGCAAGATTAACACTATATTAATATTTGGAAAACAGAGGAGTTGAACCGATCTCATGTATGTCTATAACAGGCTTCTCATTATACGACAGCAGACACCCCAT